TAACTGCCACCACCCCTCCTGCAGAAAGGTGCTGGGCAAACCAAGGACAGCACGTAAAATTTTGAAAACCCTTTTAGGTCAACCCAAACCATTTTGTCCAATCTAAACTGATTTTTTTTTTTTTTTTAATTCTCTGTAAAGCTTTTTAATTCTCTTTACATCACTTTTGGTTTCAAATAGAAAATGGGTTAAAAACCCCCAGGAATTTTGTTTAATAAATGTCTAAAAGATAGTGACCTGCCCATGTTCTCCCTCTACTGTCTTTGAAGCCATGACCCTATGGCAGCAAAGGACAAATAATATATTGTAGTGCTAATTCATGTGATGTTACTCGCAGTCAACCCTCAAACATCAATGTGAACAGCTCCACCAGGAAACATAGACCTGCACGCTTTCTCCACAGCTCCTGGCTTCTTGCCCACTCAGTGGCTGTCACTTCGCTTGTTTGAGAGCTTCTCACTAGAAAAGGATTTGCTGTGCTCTGGGAAAGGCAGATAATGTTAGAAAAAAGAACAGTCTGTTGCGTTGGAGAGTGATGGAGTGGGGTACCAGGTCTGCACACCAAGCAGATAAGAAAGTGCCATCTAATCTTCTCCCTGGCCCAAAGGGAAATGCAGTCCATGCTGGTGACAATGTGGTCATAGGGCTTCACAAGACTGTGGAAAGCCCTCAGCTTGGGCAGCTGGAATTTCTGGCAAAACCATTTTTTTTGACTAATAGTCACAACCCAGGAGTAGGTAGGAGAAATGGCACTGCACACTGAAAACCCTTCTTTTCCTATTTTTCACTATCAAAACACACTGAGTGTCTCCAGAAATGGATTTTCACATATGCCTTGTGAATCTCCGTATCTAGCTAGGGCAGGGATAATATATCTGAGCTAGTTTATATAGTTGCTCTCTTATTACCACCTCTAATGTGATGAATTGTTATTGAAGGTTTCTTCTCCACGTTCCTGTTTCGGTAGAAACCCATTCTGTGTTTTATGCATGAGTTTTACACTGCTGCAGCTAGAAGGCATGCAGATGAGGAATGCCTCTCCAAATAATCCCCTTGCTAGGAAATATAAACAATTCTCAATGAGCTCCAGCAGAAAACCACAAATTGTGGTGCAAATTGTATTTCCATGAAGTTCTATGTATGAACACAAAAGAAAAAAAAGAAGGGAAAGCAAGTCAACTGATAGCCATGGGTGAAGCAGAGAGCAATTTAGGATGAAATTTCCTGGAAATGAGAGTCACTGAGCTGACTGTCAGAAGATCCCTGATATGGGGTATCAGGTGCCATCGCAGCCAAGTGCCCAGCCAGGTCTGGGGATGTCTCCTTCTCCTTATCTTGTATCAGAGCAACTGGGAGAGTAATTCCCACCACCTTCATTCCCCCACCTTCTTCTTTGTTTGCCAGAGCTACAGGTCTTGTACTAAAAAGAAAGCAGTTTACTGGTGGTATAGACTACCCTGGCGTGATCCAAAGCCAGCTGAAGGCCACCACTTGGTTCCACTGATTAAAACCAAAAGAGGGTAGATTTAGATTGAATATAAGGAAGAAACTCTTTATGATGAGGGTGGTGAGGCACTGGCACAGGTTGCCCAGAGAAGCTGTGGATGCCCCATCCCTGGAAGTGTTCAAGGCCAGGTTGGATGGGGCTTTGGGCAACCTTATCTAGTGAAAGATGTCCCTGCCCGTGGCAGTGGGGGGAGTTGGAATAGATGATCTTTAAAAGGTCCCTTCCAGCCCAAACATTTCTATGATTCTATGATAAATTTAAAAGGTTTGGGATAAAATCCTAAACTGCAACCAGCTCTGGCTCCCAACTCAATGAGAGAGCAGAAGCAGCTGTGCTGCTGGGAAACACCAGTCTACACCAGTAAGAGGACTGGGATGTCAGCGTGGAGTCATACACACTGAGGTACCCACTGTTATTCTGAGGAGCTATAATGATTAGTAATTAAGCCCTGTTTGGATTTATGACTGGTCTGAATTTCATGTACAATTTTCATTATCTGTCATAATTACAAAAATTGCAAATAACTTTTTAATATCAATGTTAAAAAAAATAGGCAAATCTTTCACAGCATTTTTATTGCCTATTTACAATCTCAAATCAAATGGTTTACAACTTTGTGTTCTGAAAATATACAACGTAAGAAAACACTAGCCTGGCAAAATTATGCTTTTATGATAAAGACAGGGATGAGTTATAGTTACTCTAGTTAAACTATAATGGCTGCACAGATGCTAGGATAAAGCTATTGTACAACACGTTTCGCCACCATAAGCATGGCACCTGCTAGCTCCACCACGGTACGTATAAGAGCACGTTAGCATTTCTTTAGGAGTATTATTTTCAAGGATTATAATTGGACCATAAACATTGACTTGAGCATAAAATATCTGTACGCAGGCTTTAAAAAATACCTTCACAAATATTCAGACAGTTTTGCATATCTGGATTTCAGAAGCAAGTTTATGAGAGATAATATATAATTTGTTTCTGATCTTGTAGGACTCAAAAATGATCTGCATTCTTCTTATGGTCTATGAATTTGTAGCAGGTGAATTGGATGATATTTACAGAGCCAGAAATTAAATCCTCCAGCCCACTGCTGGCCATCAAGACATAATGATATTTATCCACAGATCCTGTGTTACACAAACAGCAATGGCAGGAGTTTCCTGTGCACCTTGCCAAGCTGCCCTGCACCCACCCGTGGTCCCACTCGCTCCTGAGACGCTGCTCAAGGACACCAGCCCTGGTTGTTCTGACCCACCTCCATTTGCTGAATTTGGTCTCACAAACCAGCTGCTGAGACAGAAATTTAATCCCAGTGTGATTTTCCACTGAAATGGGTGAGGAACACAGTGGCCATGAGCTCTCGCACCAGCCGTAATGCACGTTACAGACGTACCGGACACGGGCGAGCCGGTTACGCTCACCACAGCAAGAAACTACAGGAATTGAGATAAATACCATTGCTAAATGTATGACACTACAAGCATTTGCCCTAATTCTGGTTGCAGAAAACTTTACCTGTCACATACAGTCAGTAAATATGCGTAAGGATTTTGGTCAGAGTGTATTGTCTGACTTTCTTAGCAAGGCAATTTTCATAAATACAGTATGAAGAACTGAAAAAAGGGTGCTAACAGGTTGTGTCAAACCAGAGTCAACTAACCCAGTTATGGTTTTTTTAAAAATTGTTATAAATCACAAGATAGACTGTTCGAACTACTGGGATTTCAGTGAGGTGAAACACCTCCAAAGAGAAGAACCACTGCTAAAAATCAAATCGGACATTTACTTGTGTCTCCAGGATTGTGGTTTTTAGTGAGGGAAAATCTTCCCAAGTCTGTGGCACAGCTTCTTCTTTATTTCAGACTTCTTCAGTCCAGCTGGACAGAGTATGAATGAAGATCAGACATTATGTATTTCATTCTCCACCACTGAATCTGCTCTATCTTACTCAATATTAAAGCCCTGCTAACGCCTTAGGCAGCAGAAGCTGACCCTTTGTATTAAGACCTCCTCTGCAGTGCATGCCTCATGCATATGCCTATTGATGTATTTCAGAGTGGAGATAATTTTTTATTTTGGGTATCCGCTCTGGCTTCATATTCCCAAGAAAACACCTCTTGCATCTATTTTTTCATGCCATGTATTTCCCTCTTCTTCCTGCTATAATGTATTGTTATATTCCACAGAAAAAGCTTTCTTATGTCCATCTTTGTCAAAACTCTGGGAGCCACTTAAGTATCACTTTAAAGGGCTCTTTATCTCTCGGATGAATTTTCCCCTAATTGTATCCTTTAACTCCAAAAGGGGTTTGGGGACGTACTTTGTACGAAAGATGCTATAGAAAACAAAAGTTGCATTGCTTGTGGTTCTGCTTTTATTTTTCCATCCAGGTAAGTCTCCGCACACCAATTTGCTTTCTCTTTTCCAATACCCATTTCCTCCTGGGGCTAGTTCCTGGGACAGAGCTGTCTTCAAATAATTTAATTATCATGTGGCATACACCTTTTTAGTCCCCCCGAAACGGTGCGTGATGCCTTTGGTTTACATCACTTGTTGGAAAACACTCCAAAGCATTGAAAAACTATTAAATTGTTACAGTATTGGATGCCAACACACAGGGCTATTAGTCTAATTCATCCTTCAGATCAAAGCCCACACAGGCAGCTCTCCTGCCTACAGCTATTTTCCTTTTACTTTTCTGCTTGACAGTAGTCCCTCATATCCCTCTGTTCTACTTTCTTTGAACATACACATTTTCCTTTAGTCATGGAAATATAATTTATGTCTATTATACTGTATTATAGATTGCAGATCAGGACAAGCGTGCATTAGTGCCTGGAACGTCTGTTTATTGTACGTCTGGTTTCTAAAAATAAATAAATAAGAAAGCCACCCTGCTTCGCTGGGGAGAGAAAAATACAAAGGGGGAGGGCTCAGGGGCTGGGGGGGAGCTGCACTCTGTTCTCAAAGTTTAATTTCCAAGTAGAGACCTTGAAGCATGATTTATTAACATCATGCTGTTTGCTTTTGTCACGTTGTGGATGTGGCGGGGGGAGCTCTGGCCCCTCTCCAGCCCGGACCACCCAGTGAGCAGAGCGGAGCTACCGGCAATGCACACCCCGGTTCAAAGGTTCACCCCCAATTCACCAGCTCCATCACTCACCAGCCGTCTGGCTCTGACACCCCATCGGAGGCAACAGCAATAACAACAACAACACCCACCCCTACCCCCCCAAAAAAACCAACCCCAAAAACCCAAAAAACCATATCCTAACAGATGGGCTGGCTGGGATGCGAGAACTGCAAAAACAATCCCCACCCCATCACAGAGAGTATGTGTGCACGGAGGAGAGGGAGCGTGAGGAGGGGGGAGAGAGGGAACGAGACAGACAGAGGGGAGGGAAGAAGGGAGGAGGGAGTCCAAGCTCTGAGAAACATCACTCCATCTCTCTCACTCCACAGGAGCTGAGCAAGGAGCAGGACAATGTTTGACAACACGCAGTACCCCTACAACTGCTTTAATTATGATGGGGATGATTATCCTACTTGTAGTTCTGACGAAGAGAAAAAATTCACCAGACCGGCGTACAGGTAAGATGAAGTTTTTCCAAGTTCCCCCACCCCTGGGGAGGTTTCTGAGCTCTGGGATGGTGGGATCGCAGCTCGCGGGGGAGCGTGGGACCTCTCCCCAGCTGTGCGCAGTGGGTCTGGCCCCGGCGCAGGCACCGCAGCGGACAGATCCCCCCACCCCCCACATCTGAAGTGTTCACGATTTATTTTCTCCCGTGCGGGGTCACAGCAACTCTGGCATACCGTTGAGCCACCAGACCTCAGATGGTCTCCTCCGACCTCCAAGAGCCGTGGGAGAAGGGGAATTAAATGTGCGACGTGCCAATGGGTGAATGGGATGCAGATAAGCCCCGGTGCGGTGGGAAGACGCGCGGTGCAGATGTTCGCGGGGGCAGCTACGGTCCTTTCCACGAGCAGGCAAGGTCTCCAGTGACAGTGTCTCTGAGCTTGGTCTGTCTCACTGCAGCCTTCCAGCTCAGGGAAACTTTTCTGACGGGGTTTGAGAGGTGGGTGATCTTTCTGTAATCTGTATCTAAGCACTCTGTGCTGAGCGCCAGGGCAAACAGCCGGTCGGGACTCAATTGCCTGGAAGTAACGCCTGCGTATCGCCCGCGGACGCGGGGCGGAGAGGCAGCGACCACGCTCGGGGCTTATCCCTGGGATGTCTCGTGTCAGGGCGCAGATCCACCGGGAGAACTTTTGGCAGCAGGATATAGGCACACACGTACCCGTGTGGTCCTAAAAACTGAGTATGTGAGTAAGGCGATGGTGTAACAGCAAGTTTTCCTTTTTTCAGCTACATTGCCTTAATTGCAATGGCCATCCAGCAAAGTCCTTCAAATAAAGTCACCCTCTCTGGCATTTATGACTTTATAATGAAGAAATTTCCTTACTACAGATCAAATCAAAGAGCCTGGCAGAACTCCATCCGACATAACTTGTCGCTTAACAGTTGTTTTGTAAAGGTAAGATCAGTAACTGTATATTTACAGACACACTGTGCATGGCTAAAAAAATTACATGCAGGAATAATTTCATACTAGGAAAGAAGGGAAACAAACAGCTGAGCTGTGAATCACTTAAAATCTCTCTGAGTTGTCAATTATAGAGATAAAGAGTATGTCCTTGTCTGATGCGTGCTAATAGATAGCAAATTGGAGAGGATGGAGTTTACATCCTATTCATATAATGAAAGGGAATAGGCTTAAAAGTCTTGTCATATGTGTTTACACCACTCTTGAATGTAAATGAATGCAGATGTTCAGCAGCAGCATCTGTAACACATACAAATACTGAACTGCCTTTAAATAAATACAGGTCCCCAGAACAGAAGGGAACGAGAAGGGGAAAGGAAACTATTGGAGCTTTGCAACGGGATGCGAATCCATGCTGGATCTCTTTGAAAACGGGAATTACAGGCGGAGACGGAGGAGGAGGAACGTGAAAAGGGAACATAAGGAGCAGCGACCAAGCAGAGGGAAAAGTCCTTCATCCCCCGATATGTCTTCTATGGACTCTGCTTTAAACAACATTTCCTCTTCTGAAAGTAAACATGAAAGAATTGAATCGGGACTACTGGAGCCTCGTGGGTTTGCTCCAAACAGCATGACCAACAGGCAGAGCCTAAGCAATTCCTCCTTAGCAAAATCGGATTCTGAAATTAAATTCAGCATCGATTACATTCTTTCAGCCCCCGACCCTTTGCCTGTCCTGAGATCTCAATATAATATGCAAGAAAATAAATATCATCTACTGGAGGCCCAGCAAATTAATCTCCAGTTCTGGACAATGTGATGTTATTTATTCGTGGTAGCAAAGTCTGAGTTACAGTGTATTCTGCAGCCTCATGTCACTGAAAATCAGCCGCCTGCCTCCTCCTTTTCCTCCTGAGCAGTACTCAGAAAGGGTCACCGATTCACCAGCCGATACTCTCTCTGTACCCAGAGAACTTTGCTAAGGTTAAAGCATAAATAACAGTTACCAATATCGGTTTTCACTATGCTGAAATTAATGAGATTTTAGCTTTGTTTTCTGAACTGTCATGGACATCATTTAATTTCACAAAGAATTTCCCTTCTCAAGCGGAATCCAACAGAAAAGAGACTTGCTTATCACCCGTTGCTTTATTAAAGACAAAGTGAATTTGAGTCCACTTTCACTGGTGGAAATTAGGATTAATTCCACTGAAGTATATAGGTCAGAACTTAAGCTGATCTAAAACAGTGTAATTCTGTCGACTTACACTGGCTGAGAATGTAAGGCGGGGGGGCAGGGGGGGGGCTTTGTTTTCTGAAAAGGAATCACAGAAAATCATTCTTTCTTCTCTTATTTTTTATTTTAACATCATGTTTCAAACTGTTGCGCAGCTTTAATTCATCATTAATTAGAAAATGTAGTTCTTAATAAGTGTTTAAAGTATATTTTTTTTGATATTCAGGGCAGAGTTGTTTAAACTATTGAGGTGAAGTTGTATTCAAAATAATTCCAAGAAAGCTAATTGCAAGGCTGTTGAACTCTGGTAGACCTTGAGGGGTAATGTGACAGAGCCGTAAGGCCTCTTAATGCCTTGGTTTTAAAAAAAAAAAACAACCCTCTCCCTTTGTACTATCAGAAAGCTTCCTGAGATGCTGCAGGAAAGTCCTTGAAAATATTTCATTTAGCAAGTGTGAAGGGAGACCCGGCTTTGCAAGAAGCTGTATCCAGTGTTGACCAAAGCCAGAATTCCACCGACCTGCTTTGAGACAAGTTGTATATTCCTATTAAATAGATTTTTATCGATCCTTCTTGCAAGCAATTACCAAAGTGGTACTTGATACGATTTCAGCAAAGCTGGTGAGATTTCTAATTTACAGATAGCAATGTTAGATGATCAGCTCCGTTTCTAAAGAAAGGCGTTTCATTACCATTTACATGCAGTGGGGTATTTCAGAACACAACCTGATGGACAATGAACTGTAACGAGCATTAATGATGAACTGTAACGAGCGTTTAAGAACTCGCTTTTATACAACTTGTTCCCGATGAATTGCTTCCCAGTACCTAATGGCAGCGTTAGTAAAGACTCCACAAAATCTTGGTTTTGGCTTGGCTACTACAATCTTCACCTACTGCAGATGAAAGAAAAAAAGAGAAGGATTCTGGTGGTTTTAAGCAACTATATACAGAGAGATAGAATTATCTTTGCAACATGAACTAAAGGTAAATGAAGGTATGTGAGATGAGATTGAGCAAAATTGTGCTAGAGGTATGCTAAGGCATGACTTGAATTTTTATGCAGAAGCTTTGACATTTCATTAAGTTATTTTACATTGTGTTTAATATATACTGTACATTTATACTATATATTCTTATATATTGTTATTGAGAAAGGGAGCAATATCACTGCACTTATATGTTGTAAAAATGCATGATATATGTTGTCATGATGCTGAAACTCCTGCCATATACTTAAAATTTACCATCAGTGGTATTTCACACTGATTGGTAATAAATGCTCGTTTTTTGGAAAACTATAAAACTTACTATCTTCAGGAATTTCCACAGCATGCAAAAGTCTTTGCTGCTGCTTCAGAAAAGACAAAATGGAAAATCATGTCAGTGACATCACTGCATGTCTACCAAACTTTGAAGGGATGATTTGTTGCAACCAAATTCTGCCTTCAAGTGGGAGCTTTCGATTCTCTGTGAATCAATGGTTATTCAGGGCGATTATCTGAAAGCAAAATTTGGCTCATTAGACCCGATCGATCTGCTGTTTACACTGACGTTAGAAAAAGAAGAAAACCTCTGGGGTCACTGGACAGATGGATTCTCATTTGAAGAGGGACAAGAATTTGCTCCTTTAGTATTTATGCTCGGTAGTAAATAGGTGTGGGAAGAGCATGTCCTCATTTAGTACTTCAATGTATGCATGCACTCACATGTGTGTTGGGATGTGTGCACCTCTAGGATCCTACCTGCGTTTATATAATCATGCTTTATATGCAGATTTTTTTTTCTTGATTGTTTTAAACATGGCAATGCTGCTGTTAGGCTGATAGTTACAGCACACATCTGCAGTATACTTGAAATATATATTTTTTGCTGTGAAATGTGCGGATATGATTCTTCCTGTGTGTTCTTTGTTGATGCTGTTAGCAAAACATAACTCAATGACAGCAAAAGTTCCTACTAAGCAACACCTTCCCCAGGTGAACACAGTGGGCTGCTGAGACCCATGGAGATACAGTTATGGCTACTAAGCAGTACGGGATAAATGTATTAGGAAAGGCAGAAATACACCCAGGTGGATTTACAGCAGAGATCCAAAACCATTTTCAGTAAGATGAATTAATATTCACAAATAGCCATGTCCTTTGCTCACAGTAAAGTGCCTGCTAGGAGAGACTGTCATACTTGAGTTTCCCTAACATATAATCAAAGAAATTTGTGTACAAATAGGTGTTAACATTTGTTTTGCAAAGGATATCAATCATATTTCAAAAAATGTAGAGACATATTTCAATTTACCCAGTATATTATATTCTGACGACTCCAGAAAGGTTTCCAGCACTTAAAGTGAATGGCATTTAATATAGAACAACATAACAGGGGTGAGGGCTAGACGTGACCTTATTCAAATGTCGTAGCCATTACAAAGCCATTCCCAATGTAATTATAATTAAATACTTTATGCCTTTCTTGCAAATCCTCTGATCGATCATTGATATTAACATTAATATTGTATTACCCCCGAGCAAATGTCTCCCACACAAGTGTTATGGATCACCAGGTTTCCATTAACAAAGTTGTGAGCTATTGCCGTATGCTGGTCGTGGATAAATTTACGTAAATTACCTTTTCCCAGGGAAGGGGGAAAAAGTCTAGTTTTTTTTCTTTTTATCCCTGCACTCTGAGTCTAGAGCTATTTCTTCAGCTCCATCACAGCCTGTCGGCCACTTACATAAAGCCATAACCAAAGAAAAAAGAAAATCTCACAGGAACATCCCTCTTTGCCCTGTGTTGAAGCAGGTGAATATTCTCCAGACGTAGCTGGTTTGGTGCAGGGGTTACACGCTGAGCTGAAGCCAGGGCCGAGAAGTGCAGGGCGGGGGTCTGCACCCCACCAAGGCCATCTGTGGGCTGGTTGGGCCGTGCACGGCAGCCAAAGTGAGAAAAGGTATCCGTGTTTGGCTCAATTCCTCATCTTGAGGGGTCTTCCTAACTGCAAAGAGAGACCCAGAATGAGCCACGGATTTCCTAACCCCAAAAGAGGTGCTTCCCTTGGGGGGCTGGCATTGCTGGGCCCAAGCCGGGGATGGGGCAGGAGGAGAGCGCAGGAGAGCAGGTCCTCCCTGCCGGGCTGGTGGGCAAGGCGAGGGGAGAATAAGCCTCTTGTCCTCTCCTTTTAGAATCATAAATACCTTTGCAAAGGAAAGATGAAAAGTTCCTTTCTGGGGAGAAGCTAGGCTCGGCCTCACTGAGGGACTCTGGGGTGTTTTGTTTATTCATCCTTTGAAAAGAAGGCTTCCCATGATAAAACAAAGATTTTGATGGAGTTATGCCAGGTTATTCTCCAGCGATACGACTTCTAATGATTTAATTTCTTCGGCTTTTGTCATTGGTGTCACAGAAGTGTTTTTTGCACAGCAAGATGATGCTCTGCCTCAGAATGAAATTCAAAGTACTTGGGCAAGGATGCAGCACTTTTTTTTCCCCACCAGTGAAGAGAGGCCGGATAACATCCAATGCAGGACAGTGGTTGACCTCACCTACAGGAACCTCTCCCTCAGCAGAACCTCCTCCTCATTATGGGAGTGTTAATGCAAATTAAGATAATGGAAAACAAACCTTTTCTTTGTCAGTAAGGTCCAGTTCCCCTATTTTTCTGCCAATCAGATATATCTTATTAGTTGAGACCCATTACCTCCTCGTATAAACAGAAGCTGTGTTCAAGGAGCATTTGAAGGTCAAACCACACTGGAGAGGTGGCTTTACCCACACCGTTGCTTCATTGTGTGCTTCATCTTGTTGCTTGGGCTGCCACAACCTTCCTCAGCCCCACAGCAGGTTGGTCCTCAGCTACCTTGCAGAGCACTCTAGATTTGCACCATTTTCTGGCCACAGAGGGTTTTCCTTTTGGGTAGTGATTGCCTGTTCAGGTCCAAATCTTGTGTGTCCTTTCCACTCTCTACTGGCAGAGGGGACACGCTGGGAGGGGAAGGAGTTTGGAGGGGACAAGCCTTGGGGGAAAGGCTCTGCTACATGTCCTCCCGTAATACAGAGCTGGTTGGGACTCAGTGCAAGGGCCCTTGGGGTTGTGTATCAAGTCTGTACTAACCCTGTACTGTAAAGCGAGGGCAGCATCTCCTCAGTGTCCCACCATGCTCAAGCTCAGGCTAAAGAGGGAACCAAGCCCACACACCCCTAAGCAAGCAGCGCTTTAATCTTCACCTCTGGCAGTGTAACACAAATCGCTGCCCGTGATCAGCACTTCAGATCCCAAACCCAAGGCATGGAAATCCTGTGCTGCTCATTCCAGCTGGCCTCTCCCCTCTGTCTCCTCTGGGGCACGTTCTCCTCACCCCTGTGCAGGTGTAAATCCTTGCAAACCCATTAACTTTGGTACAATTACTTTTGGAATTGAAATAGCATGCCTGAAAACAAAATTTGTATACTATACCCAATGTCTCTACTCGCTCAGTCTGCCAAACTGTGCCAGCAACTCATCTCCTAGATACCATTCTCAGGGCAACAAATGGTCCCGCGTCTTTATTTTGCCTTGGCATCCAGCTTCTAATTGCTTTCTCCAGAAC